AACCTCTCCCGCTGCTATTATTGGGCATGTCGTCAAGGAGACAGAGCTGCACATTATGGGATGCAGACAGAAATAGAAATCTTGTACTGGAAGCAATACAACAGATTTCTGGTATTACATAAGAAAGACTTGTGCAAATCTAGCAATGGTGTGCCATATGGATTCTAAAACTCAGGTTCCATCACACATAGGGTCAGGGGTAAATATAAAGAGCATAATCAGGATACTGAGCCACAGCCATGATGCAGCTGTTTTGGGTTTATACTTAATGAAAGGATAAAACTTTGTATAAGCTAAGTTTATTTGCAAATGCTAAAAAACTGACAAAATGGGAAGAAAAAAAAACAGTGTGTGTGAGCAAACAAGACCACAAGGGACTGAGCACAGTGTGTCACCCAAAATGACAAAAAGAAAAAACAAATGACAACAATACTAAACAAGGAAGGAGCATGACACAAAAATCCGAAATAATAAGGGGTTCAGGATGTGCTGAATTAAAAGAGCTTTGATGGAGGGAATATTTAAAACCCTCCTGTGGCCTAAACTCACAGTATAATGAGAGGTTTATAGCACAAGGACAATGTTCAGACATTTGGCCAAATATGTATCAAGAGTCTGTTAGTCTTTTAGAGTGTCCTTACGCAAAAAAGTCACTGTAGGCAGGTCGGGATAAAGCCATCATCTAAATGGCTAAGATATCAGTATAATGAGAGTCATAATAGAAACTCTGGAAAATGAACCAATGGGAATAGATATGGATTATGGATAACCATGGGTTTAATCACTGTCTTTCAAACCCATTGAGAGAGCTGAATAAAGTCAACTGTTAAAGTGAATGCATATTGCAAACACAATGTAAACATAATTAAGTTGCACTTCAGGCAAAGTCAGAGGATGGCATTGTTTTTAAATGCCTCAGCATCAGTAATCAGCAGACAGTTGTGCAGCATTTCCCCTTTCTTCCCTAACTTGTATACTTGTTAATACCACATACATCCACAAAAAATGTACTATAAACACACACACACACACACACACACACACACACACACACACAGATACATGGTTCAATCGT